CACCCCCCCTTGCTTGGAAAAGGTTAGAATGGCCCTGATGGCCTGACACACCTGTGCCTGGGATGTGATCAGACAGAACAATAACAGGATTGCAACTTGTGCAAGATTGTGCAACTGCCCGAAGGCACCAGATAGCATTTTACAAAAGTCAATTATCTTGGACCCTATAAACTGCGACCACCAGAGAGACCCTTTGAGCTCTCCTGGATCGCAGCGGGCCTGTGACCAGCATCTCCCCTGAGCAGGGACGCCTCTCAGGTACCAAAACCCTTAAGGTGTCGTCTGCTTCAGACAAGGCCAGGGCGAATTCCCCCTGCTCGAGTCTCAATTATCGCCCGTTGAGAAATGCTAAGGCATTGTGAGTATTTGCTCTAAACTCGAGAGGGAAATTTTCCTTGAGCTAGCTTCTATTTCACCTGTTTGTTGATGTGTGTGGGGGGTGTATGTGCCCTTACCCTCGTTCCTGTGTGCTTGTCCCTTTTGTGTTCATTTTACGGAATCCAAACCCCTTTGTTTCTGTATGTATATGTCTGGTTTGTGTATGCACATGTATACATGTGTATAAATTATGGTACCGTTAAGTAAGTTAGAGCGAATCTTGTCATTTTAGAACCTGAATAAGTCGCTTTTCTTTCTGAGTTATTTTGTGTTGACAAATAGTTGTTAGTTATTAATAAATCTTGATTATTTTTACTAGATCCTTACCGTGTCAATACTTTCATCCGTGACACCCAGCAGCTGATAAATTAAAGCACTAATCCAGTTATCAACAAATAATAATTATGAATGTGGTTTAGTGGTGGACTTGGCAGTGTAAGGTTAACTTACAACGTTGGACTTGATGATCTTAAAGGTCTTTTTCCAACTTAACTGATTCTCTTATTCTATGAACACAGTTGAATAGAAACATGCTAGAAACATCTTAGAAATTTGCTTAATATTTTAGTATATTAAAACTAGTGTTTTAAAAGTTTGAAAATATTAATTACTATTCCCTTGCAATATTTTTGCAAATGTAAGATTTTCTTTATGGATCACAAAACAGCAGAAAAATTTGAGGTTTCATGTTGAACAACATTACTACAGGACTTTGTGTAGAAAAAATAACTAGTTAGATGGTTGAATTAATAATCAACTATAAAACGTGTTTAATGCATGCACAAGAAAAATGTGCTAAGATCTAAAAGCAATATGTTCTGCGGTCTTCAGGAATTTTGTTAAACTTCTGTACTTTTATGTATGTCCTAATCCTTTCCCCAACAAAGTTTATGTCAACATTTCTGTTGACGTAAGCAGGAAGCGATCAGAAAAAAATTGGTAAAGCTGATGATTTGTGTATCTTTAAATTGGCAGTTTTAAAAATATATGGGGTTGTAATATTATATAGCTTCCTGTTTTTTCCCTCAAAATTATATTTCATACATAATCTAATGACTACAAGTAACATTAAAAAAGGGTTTATATTTCAATGATCAGCTTTTCTGTCATTTTAATTTTAAAGGCTTTAAAGCTTTTTTTATTTCACTAATATGGGATTTACATTTTAAAAGTATTCAGTCTCTCCCTCTGTTTTACAATTTTCCATGGAAAGTTTCTCTCAAACTCCAACTGCAATGAAGTCTATTCAGGGAAATGCTCATTCTAAGGAGTTATTTTAGCTGTTTTGCCAGTTTTACCATAGAGTTACAACGGAGACCAAACACTATAAATATATAGGTAAAATTGGAAAGCTATGCTGCTGCATCTAGGACAAGAGGGTGTGATCTTGCTGTTGATATGTGAATATATCTTTCCAAGTTCCAAAAAACACATTTAAGTCTCTAAAACATTTTTATTTCCAATGATGGGAATTTATTTTATCTCCATATGTATCTTTTCCTCGTACTTCATTCAGGTGTTGCTAACTTTCTCCTCTACCTCCCAAAATATGCATAAGCTATCTGTAAGCTTTTGGCTATGTGGTTAGCTCCACTATGAAATGGAACAATACTTTTAAAATATAAAATAAAAATGGCTTAAGTTAAAACATATCTTTCTTTGAACATTTGGAAATGTTCCAAGGTTCAAAGCAGCTATTTTGAATGGCACTATGAACATAAGGCTGGTTATCACATTGACACTCTTATCCGTGATTAGTAACTCATGTATAAGTGCATACTCCAACAAATATAGAGACTGTATTATGGATTCCACTGATTTCATTCCTAGAAAAATAAACTGTTAGATCTTTGTTTTCATTTGTATGTTTTTTCCCTAGCTCTTTTTTGTCCTATATGATCTCCAAAAAGTCCATGCACATGGGAGGTGTACACTCCTGCTGCTTTACAGCAAGGCTTCCCACTGGCATAGACAGCAGTAATTAGCCAGAGAAACAATGGTCGCATTATAACACAGACGTTTGCTTGAGGAGGACTTTTTCAGTATAAAAGCTCAGTTAGAGCTGTTTGTTACATACACTGCTTTATCAAATGGTTTATTCAGTCTCTGCAATCTGCTTTAATTTTAAACAGTTATTTAGAGAACTTGAGAAATTCTGTATGTTTGATAAATAGTATTGGTTTATGCATTTTTACAATTTAAGTAGCACTCCTTAACCCTTGAAAATAAACTTGAAATGGAAAGAATTCTGGAGATTCATAACCCAATTCAGCATAATGTTTTACCATGAGGTGAGGTCTCCCTTCAAATAATGAATAAATTTATGTAAGCATAAAATTTCTCTAAACTTAACATTATCCATCGAAATTCTTCCAGTTCAGATGTTGATGATGTGTATTTTAATGGATTTCAAACTCTGTTTAGTGTTAAGATTATCTTTTCTCCTCTCCTCTTTTTTCCTTACCTCCCCTCTTTTGTCCTTTCTTCCTATCTCCTTTCTTTTCTCCTCTTTCTATTCCCAGTGTGGTGTTAGGCCAAATGCCTCTTAGTTTTTCTTGACCTAATTTGTTTGATTGGTACGTAGAAAATGTTAGTAAAAAAATATAAAATTAAAATTTCTCCTTTTCTTAAATTAATCAAAGTGTTCATAAAGGTATAGGTGACTTAAATTTACCTCCTTTTTCTCAAACTCTGAGTGAAACAGACTAAAGTGATTATGATTCTGAAAAAGTACTGACTTTTATTAAAATATCTCTCTGAGTAGACGTATATATCAGAGCTGTTACAAGTTTTGGCGGTTTCATCTTACTGAGCTTTGTGCCAATATTTCCTTCAGTTTTAGTCCAGATGGGTTCACACCCCTAAATTTAACTCTGATTTTCAGGATTGAACAAACTCAGACTCTCAACTGAAATTTAAGGAAAATGACCTGCACTTGAGAGACATATGAAACCACTTAAATCCAAAGCTTGAGTTGCCCCAGGTTTGTTTGAAATTTAGGCCAAAGTTATGTATTAAAGCCACAAAGCTTACCTGTCTTTTGTCAGACTGACCCAAGTTTCATCTAAAATCCAGATCCATTTTCTTTGTAAGTATTGAAAATGTTGCCTGTGGTAACATCAGAGCCTATACCCATTATTTAGCATCATGATGGAACAATTCAAATCCCTTGTTTGCTAGATAGTCAAAGGAAGAATGTTGGGGGGAGGTTGCTTTCAACTTCCTGCTGAAAATTATGAAATGAAAACCCAGCCCAAAACAGAAAAAATTAACTGAAACAATAGGCTTAAACCATGCTGAAATAAAAATCACTAAATGTTTTTTCCCAGCTTGCTGTTTTAACTGTAACAATTAGTTGACTCATTTGGAGTGAGATGTGGATGAGGAAAATATATATTGAGTTTAGAATCTTAGTGAGATTGTTCTCTATGAGAACAAATCTCATTATCAAACACTTGTCCTGTGGTGTCTCTTGCCTTTCCCATGTTTGGCTATAGAGACACTTATACACACACTCTCTCTTCACTGTAACTGAGTGAAGAGGGGAAGGACTAATCAGTACATCTGACAAATCACACAGTGAGTTTTATTATACAATTGGTATTACTTCCCAGAGGAGGCGTGTGTTATTGTAAGTGTTGGACAAACCCTTTGGAGCCTATTCTGAGACTTGGGTTAATACCTTTCTTCAGCAGAGAATTCACTAGTAGCGTATGTTCACCTTAGGAGAGATGAGAGAGTTTGTCTTGAGAAGCTCTGGCTCAAAATGTCTCCAGGTAAGGATTAGCTAACTACCTCACAAGGCACATATTTATCTTGCAGAAATCCCCAGAAGTGAGTTGTCAAGCACTTTGAAAGATTGCTTCATGAGATGTGGGAACCTGCCCACTTTCCTCAAGATAGGGACCTTGACCTAGAAAAGTATATGGCTTTAAAGAATAAATTATAGGTAAGAACTGCTCCTTTAATTTCAGTAAATAATTCTCTCATCTCTATATCTCTCTCTCACTACTCATACTTGGGAGCCCTGCAGATCAAGTTTGTGTATCTTCAATTCCAGTCCCAAGTCCTAACATCATTTGCTTTGTCTATGCCTCAGTTCTTAGCTAACAGCTCAGAAAAGCGAAGCTATCCAAATGTGCACAGTGAGTAGCCAGAAAAAAAATAATTCATATTCGTCCAGAGCCCTACGCACACTTGCACAGAGGAAGAAGGTCAAACCACTGGGAGAAACAAGGAACATCTCACTGCTTTCTTCATTGATCCTATCACATGCATGAGAGAGGAGAAAGTGGGTTTCCCCATGTCTAGTTATATCATACATCCACCTCTCACCACACATACTGCAGGCACTAATCCTGTATGCGTCCAAGAATATCTTGGAAAAATATATTCTGTCAGTTAAATTAAGTCAAGTCTAGATGCTTGAAAAAATAGGATTTTCTGGTGGATGCTTGGATAATACTCAGGGTGTCAGTGCATAAGTTGAGCATGAGACTTTCTTTGCAGGACTGTCAGGTAAGGTACACTTGAATTTTCTTATGCAGATGCTTTTGTATGGCTGTTTTGCCACGTGTCTGATTTCTCAGTTAACTTTAAAGTTTCCTAAGAACAAAATGAGGGGCATAGAGAACTGGCGGATGGCTAGAGTTAGGATATTGTTTTTATTAAGTGATGTTTAACAGTTGCTCTAAGACTGAGCACCATGAGCATTTGAGGAGTTTGGTATATTTATGCTTATGCTAGAGAATTGTAGTAACAAGTAGATCACAAGTTTTCACAGATATCAAGGGACATCGACGTTCACAGAATCACAGAATCATCCAGCTTGGAAAAAAACTTGAAGATCATCCAGTCCAAACATTGACCTAACACTTACCATTCCGAACTACACCAGATCCCTCAGCGCTAAATCGACCTGACTCTTAAACCCCTCCAGGGATGGGGACTCCACCACCTCCCTGGGCAGCCCATTCCAACGCCCAACAACCCCTTCTGGAAAGAAATGCTTCCTAAAGGCCAGTCTAAACGTTCCCTGGTGCAACTTGAGGCCATTCCCTCTTGTCCTATCGCTTATTACTTGGTTCAAGAGACTCATCCCCAGCTCTCTGCACCCTCCTTTCAGGGAGCTGTAGAGGGCGATGAGGTCTCCCCTCAGCCTCCTCTTCTCCAGAATAAACGCCCCCAGTTCCCTCAGCTGCTCCCCGTACGACCTGTGCTCCAGACCCTGCACCAGCTCCCTTGCCCTTCTCTGGACACGCTCGAGTCATTCAATGTCCTTTTTGTAGTGAGGGGCCCAAAACTGAACACAGGAATCGAGGGGCGGCCTCACCAGTGCCCAGTACAGGGGTCAGATCCCTTCCCTGTCCCTGCTGGCCACGCTATTTCTGGTTGTGTAATAGCTTGTTGTAAAACTCTATGCTGATGAATGATGCAGGCCAGTCAGTGTTAAGTCTGTGGAGTGTACCTTTTTTATTTGAAAGAGAAACAGTGGTATTCCTCCATCGTTGGTTCTTTAAGCTGCATTTGTTCAGCTACATCATCTTTATGAATGTTCTTTTCACAATTCCTGCGCAATAGGAAAGACATGAAAAGCACGGTTCATCCTCTGTCTGTTAAAGATGGATTTTTATGCCCATTACTAGATCAGCTCTTGATGTGACAGCTATTTGTAGCTACTTTCTGGTGGAGTTTCAGACCATCTTCCTGAATGTCCAAAGCAGCAGCTATTCAGCAAGAGCTATCCCTGCTAAAGCTGGTGAAAGTTCACCGCCATGACTGGCCCCAGAGAACACACTGGGAAGCACTCTATCTATTAAATGTTTTCAAGATCTGGGGTGAGATAATGGTTCCACTAAATCAATGGCAAATTTCCCAGTGCATTTGGGGGGCCAGGACTCCACACCTTCAGTTTTCCACAGAACATTCAGACCTGATCATGTAAGATTTGAACAGTGCTTAAACTGAAATAGGATCTGCCTGTGGCAGATTTAATGCACATAATACTGTAGTATCTTGCTGCCTAATTCTGGCTATTATATAAAGTTTGTGGACAGATAATCTGCAACCACTAAATTTTGCATTCCTTTTTGGTTTGGTACACCCTTGTTAAGTACAGGAAATTGGCTGCTCTGGGAGTTAGATAGATTCCATGTTGTACCTTGCATGTGATGTGTCCTAATTAGAGATTAGCGCACCTCCCTGGTAATTTCTTTCATTATTGAAAAAGTTGATTTTGTGTCATCAGAGAGCCACAGAAGAGTTCTGAAAACTCTCATGAGAGGCTGAACAGGTTTTAGGACACTTTAAGGATGAGTTGGCTTCAGGCCATAGAACAACTGCAATAATTTTCCAGAGCTCTATACAGCTTTTTTTTTTTTTTTTTTTTTTTTTTAAAATTCTCAGCTTTAGCTACACATCAGCTATGGACAAACTGTACAGTTCTCAAACCCCTTTTTGGTTTTCAAGTGGCTTTCATGTACATCTACACCATCATGTATAAAGTCCAGGCAATTTTCTCATGCTGACATTAATTTTGTGCCTAGTCCACATGCAAAGAAATCCTTCACAGCGTGTCCTTCAAGGAGTTAGTTATGAAGATTTGTTTTGAGTTGATCTAAAAGGAACTTTTCATCTTTTTTCTCCTAAATATTTTATTGTTTTGAGTTCTTGGGGCCTGCTAGTGAATGGTAGGACATCTGCCAGCAACCTGGCTAGTTTATGAAGGCTAGGAGATTTTTTGCCAACCTTTTTAGCTGTCTAACAAAAATGAACAGCAAGTTGTTATTCTTTATTGGAGACCATACACATTTGGACAGGCAGAAGAAGGGTGTAGAAGCTGGTTACATGTAAACCGAGTGCACAACCTCTGCACTCAGTTTCTAAGTGACTGTTTCCATCTGGTGTAAGGTTGTTTAAGACACTTTTTCAAGTTTGGGAAGAGGCTACTGTGCCATCAAAGCTCTAGTGAGTGATAAACAGATAGCCACAGTGACTAAAAGGGCTAATACAGTTAGGCTATAAACTAATATGTTGGCTTTCAAGAGCATTTGAGTACCAGGAGGGCCTTCTGATATTAGCTTCAGAAAAAAATGTTGTTACCAATATAATTTGATAGTATTATCCAAAGATATCTATTTTACCTGTATTCCTCTGGTTACTGCAGTCTCATTATCTCAGTCCATTTATCTATGATATATACACGAGAAAGAAGAAAAGAGGAACAGAAGCAAAACAGCTTATGGTAGCTCAGGAATGAGTACTTGCTCATTTAATCCACTTATATGAGGCCAAATTTACCATGACTACAGTGCTGAAGAAAATGTTCAAGTCATCTAAACTCAGCTAAATGCTCTAGCCATTCTTTATCTGTTGGCTTTCTGAGGGAAGGAAGTGATCAAAGATGACAAATCAGACCTGGGTTCAATTCCTTTTTCTGCTTATGAACCCTACCCTTAGGATATGTCTTCACTCATAATTCATTGATGAGAAAAGGTCATCGTTCAGTCCTGAAGATACATCACATATGTCTTCTGGCAGAGCAGTCTGTTGTGTCCTGGGGCAGTACGACGACTTGTTCTTTGTGAAGTTTGACTTCTAAATGGCATGATGTAATTTGCTTCATTTCTATAATCCAGTATGTTAGTGAACTGTAAAACCATGCTCATCATCACGCTCAGTGTTAGTTAACCTATTCTTCCTACAGTAGCGTGCTCCATAAGCCTCCAAAGGTTGTCTGTACAGTGATGGTCAACAGAAAACAAAGATCCAAATGCTTTAAGCACTTTTATTTCCACAGAGTGGGTTGAGTACCTGCAGACTTAGTCGGGACCCAGTTCCTACTGACTTAAAGGTTTATCTAAAATTTTTGTAACTGCACTTGTGACAGTTTAAAAAAATGTTCAGTGCTATTGCTGAGTACGTTATTTATTCATCACCCCAATCCTTCACTTTATCCACTGTCCAGCAGTAGTACTTTATTTTCCAAAAAAAAGATTAGAGAGTTCTTTGAGTGAAAAAAGATTGGGAAAGGCTATTTTACATAATAGCCATTTAGTCAAATTCTTATTAATGTTGAAGATGCTTTTCCTCTATATAATCCAAAAGGTACAAAATAATTTTACAGCTGTATGAGACAAAAAATATAATTTAAAATACTTTTCTGAGTATTACAATAACTTGTGGAGAAGTTAAAAAAAAGTTATAATGTGTCTTAAGAGTTCTTCACATAAATATTTTGCCTTGAATTTCAGTCCCAAGATTAATTGTCTCCAGCCTTACTTCCAGTGCATGAGAGAACGGTCGAGAAGCAAACTCAGCATTTTTTTGCCGCCTTAGTGGAGCATTAATCTGTAATTTTTGTGATTTAATAACATACTTTAAAAGTTTTCTTGGCTAAAATCTGATACATAGTGCCGATGACCTCCAATGCCCTTCCTTTCTCTGAACCAAAGGCCTTAATTGTTCGTCCTCTAATACATACAGAGAGGCCACTCAAAAGGATGAAATCCAATATAAATAAATGACATTTGGTGATGAGGTCAACTTTCAATTTAAGATTTATTTTACCCAGATGCCTGAAATGAGTGGCTAGACTACATTTCAAGGTTCAGGGAAAACTTAATAGATATTTATTGGTGAATTGAAGGAGTGACATGTTGCAAGCATCTGTACTACATTACATTTTAGAAAGGCTAGTCTATCTTCAAACTTCAGGCCTTGTGATGTCTCTCATGCCGAGAATTTCAAACCTGAGAAAATGGATATTTCATAACTGAAAAGAATAAATTGATTACAATAAACAAGATCCAAGTCATATATGTATATTTGGATTCTGCAAGATGCTAGGCCTAGCAGATCATTTATCTGCTCCTACTAATTTTAAAGGGATATACGCTGACAGTTTTGGTGGGAATGGACTCAAATTCCCACTAATCTACACTTAAGTGAACTCATTTAACATGAAGCTCATATTCATTATATGGCTTTAAATCGTCCTCCCTCACACCCTTATGTAACATACAACTAAATAAAATACAGATGTCCTGAAGATCTATACGAAGTATGAACCTAGCTGACCATCCAGCTGTGTGAGAGTTAAAACTGGATTTGTATAGTTAAAACTGGATTTGTATAGTGACTGGGGTTTTTGGTCTTCTTTTTGTCATTAATTTCCCTTGTATTTCTGATAACCATAAAAAAATCTTTTCTTGTTCATAAACTATATCAGAAATCCTATTAAAATATTATTTACTTCATGCTATTTATGACATTTATTTTCTGTAATTCACTTGGCTTAATACTCATGAAAGTATTATATGAAAGTTCATTTTGTTTTATTTTCAGTTCTTGCTGTAGATATTTCATTCCAAAATTTTAGTGAAATGTTTACAGAGAGTAAAAAACTCCATAATTGCATTTAAGTGTTAAATGTGTCATTATATATAAAATACAATGGATAAGTACACAGTAATACCACTTGCAAGTCCATCTTTTCATTGTGATCCTACATTAGGACCTGAGAATATCCTTTTCAGATGGCTGGGATGCTACATCTTCACAAATAGCATATTTAAGCATTTAAACATCCTCAGGACACTGTCCTTCCTCAGAACTCTCCTTCCCCATTAGCTTTCGTGCTGACCTCTGTGATATCTCCCAAGGCCAATGGAACATTTTTGTTACCATCTCCATATTTGCTTGAGGAGGAACTGTCTGTGCTCAGATATCTGTCACATATCCAGCAAATACCTTGTTTGATATTTATCAGGCAGAGCATCTTGACATGAATGACGAAATGAAATGCATTTTAATTGCTAGAGAAGCAGTCTAAAAGAGTCAAAACATTTTCCACAAGAGGAAAAAATGAGTCATGAGTTACTGAGAACACTTGATTTTTTTCTGTAATCCCAGTGCTTTATTCTTCTTAAAGAATTACTGTCTCTATAATGACATATTTACAAGGTGTCTGGTACTATAGATCTGTTTGCACAAAACTTACATTTATACCACTTCACTCAGAGGAAAGGTTATAAAATTAATTAAGAATAACACAGAAGTTGCTGAACTCTAGCCTACTTTGACTAACTGGCTTCCAGTATGATATTAATTGTTTCAACTGAGCTCAGATATTTCACAGCATATGTTGTTGATGTACACAGTATTAGGTAGTCTGTTCACATCTGAAATCACTGAACCTTTTTAATCATGAGTTCTTCTTTTGCCACTTGGTGTTGAACTCCAATAGTCAGGGTCCTGATAATTCAGAATAGGTGTTTCAGAGCATACACCCTAAATTATCCCCTCTGATGTTCTTACTTCTGTGAGTCCAGCTTCCACGAGCAAATTGAGAATAATGGGTCCTGTGAGACTAAATGTGCTGTGAAGTAATGACTAGTGCCATGATATAAATTCTGAGGAAATAAAGTGTTCTCTTAACTGTGTTTGACAGCATTAGGGATGGAGGGGGGAACATATTAAATAAAGTCCACACAGTGAAATACTGAACAACTGCTTGCTAATCTGCCAGAGTTCCTGTGATTCAATGAAGTCCGAGGAAAAACAAAAATAACTCAATAACCAATAAGACTACCAAAGCACACAAGGGGTCTGAAGTGAAGTTATACAGAGAATCTCCCTTCTGCCATTTCCCCTATTCTGAGTGCTCGACTTAGACTTCTATTGTTCTTTTAACTTTGTTTAAAAAAAGTGGTGTATCCACACGTCCTGTGTATAAAATATTACTACACACGGAGGGCTGTTTTAGTGGGCTTTCTCGTGAGAACAACTCCTCTTATTGCCGTATGGAGAACTAGAGGAGAAATCCCAATGCTCTTAAAGTCATTTCAGGTTTGCTACTGATTTCTACAGTGGATCAGAATTTCACCTCTAATATTGTTAAGGGTCAAAACACAACTGAAGGAAATGAAAGAAAACGGTAGTAAAACATCAGCAGTAAACCTGTCCCACAAATTTCTTGTGGTTTTACAAGGATGTAGTTAATACATTAAGTTGTTGTTACCTAATTAGGTGACTTTTATTGTGTCATCAAACAGAAAACTGATACCAAGTGGCATGTGCGTATGAACAAACGAAAGAACAGAGACAATGTTAGTGGAGCAGAAAATAGCCACCACCTGAAGCATGATTTCAGCGTGGGATCAGAGACTTTCCAAGGGAAATAATTAGTGAATAATAATTAGTAAGAACTATTGAGATTTTGTCTTTACAGAAATAAATTAAACTGATCACTGTCAAACTCATACTTGCAGTAGTGTTCTAAATAATACCTACTTCAGTACCGTGGCTTATGTCTCCTCTTTCTTCAGTGGTCACACCAAAAGCACCATGAACCATCCTTTGAGGCTTCTGCATCCCTCACTCATTTCCATAGAGCATAAACTGGGATGACTCTCTTGGCAGGAAGGTGTCCTGTCATTGTTTCTATTCCCATTCCCATTCCCACTGCAGTCACCAGGACTTCAGAGGAAAAAGGACTGGACACAGCAGTGAAGTAAAATATTAAACAAAGTAGTGAAGATGGCAGAATTTGGAGGTAAAAGCTGAACAGATCTTTAATGCAGTAAATTCTATTTTTTAATACTCTCTGCTTCATCATTAAAAGCTCTTATCTTCACTGAAAAATGTACCACCATAAAGCCAACCATGCAGAACCAGATTTAGTCTGTGACAGTGTGTGAATGCGTTAGATCCATTGTAATGATGAATGTCTGCAATGTGCAGCAAGAACTCAATTAGACAATGGATGCACAGGAAAGATGGGATACTAACAATGGAAAACCAAACTGAGCAATCCTGGACACCCACTCAGCTGCCTCCCTCTCTGCTCACAGGAGCCTGATCTTGGAAAAGCACAGTTGCATTCCCAGGCATGGCTGCAGTGACTGCAACCTCAAGAAGATTCAGGCTGATGTGTCTCCAGAAATGAAAGGTTGGATCCAGAAAAGCCACGAGTACTGTTCCTATCAGCTTCATTAAGCCCTCCTCAGTACAGGGGCAGCCAAGCACGCACTCTGCTTGGGGATACCTCATTGACAAACATAGGATCACACTAAATGCTTTTTAAATCAATCCATAGGAAAATACAAGTGTTTACTATTCCCTCAACCATCCTGCCCAAAGGATGTGTGGACAAGAGTGGAGCTTGGTAACCAAGCGCAGACACCGCTCCTCTGACAGCAGGCTTCCTGCCCTGTGCTCCCTCGCCTGCCATCACGTGTTACAGATGCCGGTCTAACCGTGAAATGCTTAAACCCTTCCTTGTACTCACCTCCTCAGGCTGAATCCCATACCCCTCCCACAGGAGCTCTGTATGAGCTGTACATTTCGGCATGAAGACTGCCCTCTGTGAAACCAGAGACTCGCTGTGACCCGCGTGACGGCCATACATCGTTGGGAGAGCCTGCTTATCCGAACGGACTCTTGGAGGCGAGGGCTCAGGTTTGTGCCTCTGCAGATTAACTCTGCTGATAGGTGGCTACAACAAATCACAGGAGGAGATTTTAATGTCATAACAGCTCTGGAAGTAACTATTTTCTGCCAGCAGTGTGGCTGCGTAGGATGAGATTGGGGAAGCGCAGGCACAGTTGTGGCTGGAGAGCATCCTGAGCTGGCATTTCCAAGCCTTCTTCAGGGAAGCCCTTTTTAATCTGAATTAAAATTCTGCAATATTGCTTGATTAATATTGCTATTCACAAATGACCTAGAAATAACCACTCTAGTGATTTGAACCACTTGGCTGCACAGGCCATTTTTCTTTTGGAGTCCAGTTTTTTCTACAGTGGAGAAAAATCTCAGTAGTTACCTACTCTTGGGTTTCTACTGTAACAGCAAAAAAAAAAAGGCAAAAAATGGCCACTTGATTTTTCAGCAAAAATCAGTGAAGAATATGCAGGGAAGATTTCCATATGGAGGCTACTTAAAAGTTGGACCCTAAGTCTTCATTCTGCATTGTTGGTTATAAGGATCAGATATAAACTCCCTCTTATTCTGCAGTGATTTTTCCAGGAGACATTTACAAGGAGGAATAAAGCCAAACTCTCAAATAAAAAAATGTGCTTACAGCAATTTATCAGTCTTTAATAGCTGCCCTGCTATTTAGTATCATGTTCTAGGACACTCACCATGGCTTTGTGGAAAAACATTTGTTAAACACAGGCTTCTTCGGCTTCTTCTTATTTCAAACAAACAGGTTTCAAATACACGCAGAGTGTTTCATTTTCCTAAAAACATTTCCATTTGTTTTTAGTATTATTCACTTCTCTATCATATTTCTGTATATTTTAAAAATAAACCACTTCTTTTTTTTCTTTTTTCTTTTTTTTTTTTTTTTCCTAGTTATAGGAATGACATTACATAGAAGGGAACAGCAGTTAATGCTTTATCTCTGATTATGCTACTTTACATGCTTCACCCTTTTATTTTTAAATTTCTATGACACATATGGACCCCAAGCATTATGTCATACAAATCAGTAGAATGGCCATAATGGCAAATTAAAAGTTTGTGTGAGCAAATTTTTAGTCAATTACTGCTATTTATGGGCTCCCGATTTGTTTGAGGTTTTTTTAAAATACTGCTACAAAATAAATCACAGTAACATATTTTAGCCATATTGTTTAGAAAACTACAAAAGATCTCAGATGGAGAAAGGGGGTAGCTGTTACTGGATGAACTAACATACATTTGAAAATAGGGAGAAACAGCTGGTTGGATGACTCTGATTTTGGTCTTAACATGCAGAAATATATTATCCATTTTATAGACAAATTTTTTTAAAAAAAAATCTTTTATTATAGCTGTGTTCAGGAGCAAGAAGAAAGATTACCCCTCAATTAAACTGTAAATGTAATGCTGAATATACATTTTAATAGGAAAGAGTGAACAGTTGTTGAAAAAGGCACTAAGTCTTGTGATACATGTTTATTTCTCAATTTTCTTGAGCACAGGAGAAACTCCTCAAAGCAAACAGATCCATAATTCCTATTGGGCATGGGATTTACGTTAGGGGCTACCTAAAGGGCAAGTGCGTTAGCTTGTAAATGTCACACCACAACAGACTCGGGAAAAGAGAATTAAAGTCTAAGAACAAAGCTTTCCTAATGCCACATGACACAAAGCTCAGCAAAAAATATCTTGACAGGTAGGGGGTGGAGGAGGAAAAAGTCCCATAGCCTGTCTATCTCAGCAGGAGCACGTAAGTAATATGGTATGAGGCTTACAGGGAAAAATACCGAAAGTTTGAAAAATGTGCACTACACAAACTACACTGCTTTCTAACACATTTGTGTTAATTCTTCAGCTCCTTTAGTAGAGTATCATGCCTAAGTGATACCCTGAGAAATATTTTCTGGTTTACAATAGTATCTGACAGGCAGAAGTGCTAGACTGCATGAAGATAATTCAATCAGTCAGCAAATCCTGTTGTCTCTCAGTTTGTAAATTCAAGTGATAATTCTGCATTCATCTAGTGTCAATCTGTGGCAAAAGGCCCAAAACAAGGATTATAGCAGGGGAATTTTGTGTGTGAGAGGAGAGAGAAGGAACTTTGATTTGCAAAGACTCCTCTATCTCAGAGCTGTGTTTTGGGAAAAAAATATGCATTAGCTTGTCTCTCATATTACTTTTAATTTTTTTTTTTTTTTTTTTTTGTGTTTAAAATTATGTTAATGTAGACTTTGCATCAATTGTTGCTTTACAGAGTCTTTTCCTTCTGTCACTTCAGACTGCACAAACCTGTAGTGCTATAACCAAAGATTACATATACTCTTTGTGTTATGTACTCCAACTGCTCAGCCATTCTATCCTTTTGAGCTTGGTTGCTTTGGAATAATCAATTTTAAAATTGTATGAGAGAAGCCACACAGCACTTTCAGTGGTGTAATTGAATCTGTTGAATTTCAACTACTGTAAGAACTGATATAAAGAAACCTAAAACGTTATGACTTTCAGGTTAGTTCAAATGATAAAGGACTTCTCATATTTTTACATCTGCCAGCATCTTTCTATCACTCTTTGCAGAAATATATATCTTTGTGCGGTTATTATAAAATGCCACAAGTATATCTACAGCATCTTTAAAAAAAATTAAAACTCAATATCCATCAATACTTTCATCTGTGTGCATGTATAAGACTGTTAGTGCCAAAACCTCCCAGGCTCGAGTTTTGTCTTTCCTTCTTCTGTATTCGTGGTTGCACTCCATAAACATAATCTGGAGCATTAGTCTCTTTGCCACAAACAAAGTGTGGATCTTAAATTGGCTAGCGTAAGTGTGTAAATAGAGAAGGTTTGGGAAAGTGAGTTAGTTGCTATGCAGTCTATCACGAGCGTCAGTGACTAAGAGCTGGAAGAACCACAGTACTGTTCAGAAGTTTTCACACTTATCGAGACAAACCACTGGAAAACGTGATAATGAATGGATAATCAGCTGCAGCTTCGCAACCCAAAACTTTCCCATTTTTTGATTATTCCCTGTTTCACTTCCTTGCAGAACAAGTCTAACTTCACAGCCTATAAAAATATTTTTATTTCTTTGAGCAGCCTCTACTAGTCTGAGCAGCAAGCAGTGTGATAGAAAAACAGGGTTGTTACTATGGTGGTTTTGAGTCTCAAGGGAGTAGTTCACAGCTTTCCAAACTTTCTCTGCTCCTGTTGTCACACTGCAGAGAATGATGGCCAAGATAGCCCCACAGGTAGGGACTACCTCCCACTAAACTGTTTATCTACAATTCATCCCTCATGTGAAATCTAAGGCATTAGATAGCATCCTGCCATGTACATTACCAACTTCTAGCATCTCAGGTGAAACCTGTGGGAATCAGAGAATAGTCCAGATGAAATGCATCCCCCCAGCAGGCCCACATTTTGCACTGAAGCACTGGATCTACGCCCTCCTGCATCTTACCCAAGGGCAGAGACCAGGGCAATACTCATTCTTCTCCTGAAGTACCACCAAGAAGCCAACCTGCAGCTTGTGTGAACAATGAGGGGCAATGCATGGCCACAGATGTGCCTTCTCTCTTTTTGCATCAAAGAGGAGGTTGACACATACGAGGCCTTTTTTAGTCTTTAATTTCCCATAGGAATATTGTTAGGAAACTGAGAATTTTTTCCATAAGAAGACGACACTGGATTTCCAATGTAAATTTCATTCTATTTGGGGATGAAGAGATCTCCAAATCTTCCTTCTGAAAATGTGACTATAAAGGCATTTCAATCCTGTGTTGCTCTCTAACCATTCCTTTTTTCCACTAGCTCCCCATGTACACACAGTGTACAGGGGAGTTTCTATTACATTTACCTAAAACTGCTTGGTTTATGATGCAGATAGCTTCACATTTTCACATTCATGAAAGAAATTCTTGCTGCTGGTGTGTTATGCTGCTGTAGTTAAACAATCCTCTGTGCTGCTGCTGCTGTTTTATGGGCAGTGGCATAGAAATAGAATATAAGTAGTAGGAAAGAAGATTAAATTTAGCATAGTTCTCCTGCAGATATATACTGGCAACTTTTCTCTCATACTTTATGTACACAGAATTGCCACTATTGGATAAGACAGTCTGTCACCATACAACCTGCTTGAACAACCCACTCACACAGCCTTTTGTCCCTGAAGCCTGGGTTTGGTGAAACTATAAAAGAAAATTTACAAATTTACATCCTTTTCCTTAGAGAGAGTTTTGTAGAGGATTAGCATTTTCTAATTACCTTTGGGCAGCTTCCAGAGCATGTAATATCCCAATACAGGAATCATGGTAGTGATTTAACTGAGGGTTGTTAGCAAGTGAGCTTATTTTGAAGAGAAAGTAAATCATCATGGCCTTGACACCTATAAACCAAGGGAAATATTTTCTGGTTTTAAACTGTTCATGGTGAAATATCTCCCATCTTTGTGTGTGTGCATGTGTGCATGTGTGCGTGCACACAGATTTAATTTGCTGTGATTGGATTAGTGGGTAATTCCAATTATCTAGTATCCAGGCAGTGACTGACATTGTGCCCACATGTTATCAAAAGTCAATGTTGCAGCTATCTCAAGCAGACATATTTCCTGACAAAGCACTTCACTTCAATGGAGTTCCTCATGGCTGAAGTACTTTTTAAAATGAGTCAGGCATTATGAGATAAAGTCTGTTCAGTGTGAGTCATTCGGACCTTGATACTTTCTGGTTATGTTTTACCAATTTACTTTATTCTGGCTCATAATCTACTCTGGAACTGATTCCTTTTTCTGCCAGCTAAGTACCATTTCAGCATAAATAAAGTGGCAGAATCAAACTCTAGAAATAAGCAAGAATATGTGGGTTTAGACTAACTTCTCTGAACTTCTTTACCAGTCAATGACAAGTAAGAAGGACTTCAGAAAGTGAGTAAAATGAGCTGCTTAACCAGAGTTTGTTGAATACTCCACAACATCAAGCAAGGCAAGGATCCTCATGATGTTGGACTGGGTAACCTGGGAGAAAAACATACCTC